GGGGGGGGGGGGGGGAGGCACTGGCTCCACAATCCACTGCCAAATCTTCTCATTTCAGGGGCTTTGTGGGGGGAGGGTGTGTGTGTGCTGATTTCTGTTTCAGAGTGGACTGGGGGCAGTAAACTGCCACTGGGACTCCTAAGCGGCTGAGGAGAAACCAGGAAATACAGACAAAACAAACTGATTAAAGCTGAGTTAGAGCCCTGGCTGGTGCTGCCAAGTGGTTAGAGCGTTGGCCAGAGCATCAAAGGGTTGTGGGCTTCATTCCTGGTCAAAGGCACATACCTGGGTTGCAGGTTGCATCCCTGGCCCTGGTCGGGGTGTATGCGGGAGGCAACCAATCAATGTGTATCTCTCACATCAATGTTCCTCTCTCTCTCTCTCTCCCTCCCTCCCCCCTCCCCCCACCCTTCCATTCTCTCTAATAAAAAAAAAATCAATGAAAAAAAAAATCCTCGGGTGAGGATTAAAAAGAAAAATTGAGTTGGAGTCCTGCCCGCATGTGACAACTGAGCTTCCACCCCCCAGGAGTCTTCAGACAGACTCATGGTAACTAACAGTCAGTAGGTGGTTCCCACGTGCCCGGGGGCAAGGCGCTCCCTCAATTAGTTAATACGGGGCTTCCTGGGCCAGGGTGGGTGCCTGACTCTAGGAGATGCTGAGCCCTGGACAATCCCCTTCGCCTTAGGATCCAAGTCCCACCTGGATTCCTCCCACCCCCAGGAGTGGAGGGGAACGCCCGCCCGTGACACAGGCTGTGTTTGCTCTGGGCCTGGCTATCGACTCCAGGGGCCTTATCGCTGGGTCCTCAGACAGGGCTGGGCGGGGCTGCGTGAGGGAGATGTGGTCCCACTGCCCCGGGGCACAGAAGGAAGGAGAAGTGGAGGGAAGGCGGCGGCAGAGCCAGCGAGAACGAAGCTGCTGGCTGTGCCATGAAAACGCTTCTGCTTTTGCTGCTGGTGCTCCCGGACTTGGCGTGGGCCTCAGGGCCCCTGCACAGGTGAGGCCACGTCCCAGCACTGTGTCCGGCCGGGGCAGGGCCCTGCTCTCACGCTGAGGGCTCCCCTGGGAGAGGAAAGCTGCTGGAGAAATAGGGAGGAGAAGGAACAGGGCCTGGGAAAGGTTGACCAAGCGGCCACCTTGTGGGAGTTAGCCTGAGTCTCCAGCCCAGCACCAGCCACTCCTGGGCCTCCACCTCTGACGGAGCTGCCTGCCTGAGCCCCAGAGGCCTTCTCATGTTGGAAACAGCAGGACTGTGCAGCTCAGAGGACCTGAGTACTCCCCCAAGGGGCTGACCACTGCCCCGAGAGGTGTGCTGTCCCTTTGCGTCAGCCCTCATGGTGTTCATGTAGAAATGCAGACCATCCCACAGCCCCATCACCCCTGATCTCCAAGAGCCTGTCTCTGGGAGGGGGTGGGGGGGGCATCTCAAGTCTAAGGGTCTGAGGGTCTACAGGAGGCTGGGCAGGCTGGGGCAGAGGGGCCCTGATCCTAGCCAAATCCTGGCACACTACCTTGCAGGCCCCTCCTGAGTAACTTCCCAATTAACCTCCGGGAAATGGGGCGGGGGAGGGGAGTCAGAGAGAGGCAGGAACGCCTCTCCTCCTCACACGGGGCTTTGTCCTCAGGGTGCCCCTCAGGAGGGGTCAGTCCCTCCGAAAGAAGCTTCGAGCTCGGGGCCAGCTCTCCGAGTTCTGGAAATCCCAGCATCTGGACATGATCCAGTTCACCGAGTCCTGCACGATGGACCAGAGTGTCAACGAGCCCCTCGTCAACTACTTGGATGTGAGGCCTCCTGGGCAAAGGCTGGGAGGGGGCAGGACACAGCCTGGCATGGCGAGGGGGCAGCAGCACTGAGGCAGTGTGGATTTCTCCTCTGGGATGACCCATAGGGACTGATGCCCGGGTCCCCTTGGACTTGGTCCAATAAGGCCCAGGGCACCTGAATGTGTGCACCTCTGTGGGAGGAGAGGGAGGAGCAGGGCCAGCCTCCCTGCCTTGCTCCCAATGATTCTCATAATAATGAGAATCAGGATAGTGATTAGATTTCCTTCCTCTCAGCCCTTCCTCTGCCTTCCACCTCTGATGGCCACTTCCCAGGTCTCTGAGCCCCGGTCTGTGCTGGCCCAGGCCCTGCCCACGGAGCTCTCCCTGGGTCCTTCCCCCTCCCCAGCACCCACACCCTGCTCCCTTCCCTCCCTTGTCTGCAGATGGAATACTTTGGCACCATCTCCATTGGCTCCCCACCGCAGAACTTCACCGTCATCTTTGATACCGGCTCCTCCAACCTCTGGGTCCCCTCTGTGTACTGCACCAGCCCGGCCTGCAGTAAGTGGTCCAGGAGCCCCCACAGGGAATGGCTGAAGGCCAGGCCTGGGATCTGGAGCCTGGCACCCTGGGGGGAGGGGTTGGGCTCCAGTAACTGGCCATCCCTGCACACCAGCCTCCCCTCTCCTCCTCTGCGTCTGCCCTGGGACTGCCTTCGGCAGAAACAGGGCTGGGTCAGGAAGAAAGTTAAAATTGATTGCTATCCAAGCTAGCAACTTCCATACTGATCAGAATCAGCAGGGGGAAACCACCACCAAAAATTTACACATTTTTGAATACTACCCCCGGAGCACCTCAAGGAATGTGGGGACAGTTCCATTGCAGTGGCTCTTTCTGGGCAGGTAGGTGGGTCAGGTTCCAGTGTGGACTGTTCACCTGCATCCGGGAGGCCTGGTGACCTCGCTCCCACATACCAGAGTGGGGGCTGGTGGGACAATGGGTGGTGGACCCATTTGGCCAGAGGTCACTCAGAGGTCTTTGTGAAAACTGGAAAAGGAAGAGCTAAGGAAAGGCATCTCAGTCCATGTAGGACAACGTTTAGAGACAATGTCTCAGGCAACACTCAAGGTGTCCATGGGGCCCTGGCCGGTTTAGCTCAGTGGAGAGAGCGTCAGCCTGCAGACTGAAGGGTCCCGGGTTCGATTCCCACATACCGGGGTTGCGGGCTCAATTCCCAGTGTGGGGCGTGCAGGAGGCAGCCAATCAGTGATTCTCTCTCATCATTGATGTTTCTAGCTCTCTCTCTTTCCCTTCCTCTCTGAAATCAATAAAAAAAAAAAAAATTTTTTTTTTTTTAAAAAAGAAAGGTGTCCATGGGTTGTGCAAGATGTTGGGAGCAATCTCCTGGAATAGCAGGAGTTTATCCTGAGTTTCTTTTGAAGGCCAGTCTCTGATGCACAGTGGTCGGCAGAGGCTGATGCCTGGCGTTTATTCTGTGTGCCCCAGGAGCTCACAGGCAATTACGTTTGCCCAGGGACAACTATTTGGCTCCTGTCAGCCCACCACGACAGGATGGGGATGTAGGGGTCACTAGGGAGGGCCATGGCCAACCTTTCCAGATGTACCTGCTCATCACTGTGTCCTCAGACCGGTCAGTTAGGGAGATTTGGTTCCCACTGCCCCGTGGGACAGAAGAAAGGAGCGGTGGCAAGGAAGGCTAAGGCAGAGCGAGAGAGGAGCTGCTGGTTGGGCCAACAGCGGAAGTTAGGGAATTAGCTCTGCACGCTGGGGTGTCAGGGTAGGGATGGTGGCAGCGAGCTGGTGGCCCAGGCAAGAGCGGCATCCTTGCTTTCCAGAGACACACCCCAGGTTCAGCCCTTCCCGGTCCAGCACGTACAGTGCCGCAGGGAGCCACTTCTTCATTCAGTATGGGACGGGGAGCTTGTCCGGAGTCATCGGAGCCGACCAGGTCTCCGTGAGTATAATTCCTTCATGTTCCCTCTCTTGGTCAGGAACTTGGGAGACAGAACACCGTTCAGAGCTCTTAGGGGAGCAGTTTCAGATCTGCCGCAGGAAGAGGTGGAAGCAAGGAGCTGGAGCTGGCTTCCAGGGAAGGGGGAGGCCTGGCTTGGCCTGAGATGCGGCCGTGGGCCAGTCTGTGCCATGTGCTGGGTCCTAGAGAGGCGGTGAGGGAGGGGGGATTCCTGCAGGACACAGGGCACCTGGTGGCAGGGTTCACAACTGGACCAATGGCCCCAGGGCACCAAGGAGACAAGACCAGGCCTCCATCTTGAAGGAAGAAGATGTCCAAGCCGGGGCAGATGGTGGGAACTCAGTTACTGAAATAAGGCAACAAGGTAGGGGCTGGGAGTCCAATCATAGAGACAAGGCAGAATCCAAGTCCCAGGTCAGCCCTGAACTCGATGCTGAGCTCATGAGCTGCTCCTTAAACTCCTTTGACCAAAGGTCCCATGGGTCCCAGAACTGTGGGAACCTGACCAAGGTGGGGACAGAGAGCCAGGGGAGCCCCGGTCCTGCCCTACCCAGGTTTATGGGTACAGGAGCAGTAGTCCCCGCCTTTCCACGGTTCGCTTTCTGTGGTTGTAGTTATCCTCAGCCAACCACAGCCTGAAAGTATGAAATAAAAAATTCCAGAAATAAACATTTCCTAAGTTCCAAATTGCACGCTGATCTGAGGAGCAGGATGAAGTCTTGTGCTACTTCACTCTGTCCCACCCGGGATGTGGATTGTTCCTTCATCCAGTGTATCCACACTGTATGCGCTCTCTGCCCATTAATCACTTAGTAGACAACTCAGTTATCAGATCAGTTATCAAAGAGAGAAAAAGAGATCACTTTAAGTAACTTCTATTAGTGTATTGTTTTGTTCTATTTTATTATTAGCTATTGTTAATCTCTTATAGTGCCTAACTTATAAATTAAACTTTATTATAGGTACATATAGGAAAAAAAACAGTCTATGTAGGGTTCGGTATTATCCTTAGTTTCAGGCTTCCACTGGAGGTTTTGGAATGTCCACCCTGTGGATAAGGGGGGACTATGGTCTATGCCCAGGCCTTTGGGGAAATAGAGGCTGACCCACTCCTGATGAGCATTGTTACAGTTCTGGGGGGTCCTGCCACAGGGCTCAGACTCCATCAACATCCCTTTAAAGTGGTTGGGAGTAGAACACATGGAGTGAAAAAAAAATGCCAAGAGCAAGAAACACAGCGTCTATGTAAAAAAAATACCACATACAGATAAAACAACACACTGTGTTTTCTATTAGAACATATGTAAAGGCACAAATGACTGCTTAGAAGGCTACGACACATTCCTAACTGATCATCATAGTTACCCCTGGGAAGCAGAGGAGGGCATGGAAGGAGAATTGTGTCCTTTGCTGCTGCTTATCTGCTGGCTCGCTGGGTGGTGTGGGGCAACAGCCAAGCCCATGGCAACTGCAGCTTCCCTTGGTTTCTCCTTCAAGTTTCCTGGCTCCCAGCCCAGCTGCACGTTTAACTCCGTAACGGACAGTGGCAGCTAGGGCTACAGGACACGCCAAGCATTGAGGCTTAGAGGCAGTGAGAGAACAATGTGGGTTCTAGTCCACCCTCAACCTCAAAGTTCCAATTCACCCTTCTCCCACCTGACACCTGTCTTCCCTGACTGACTGCCAAACTGTAGACTTCAGTCTGCAACACCAGGACAAAGCGAATTCCTACTGTACACCATTTAACCAGCACCTGTCATGGCATACAGTCAACTGTCCAGAATACAATCCTTTGTGTATGTAGCTCCTAATGGCTCTGCTTCTCTGATACAGATAAGCAAGGACGTGCTAAAAATTGTGGATGCAGCTAATGCAACCCTTATGAGACAATTACAGCCTGAAATGTATATACTAGAAAAGCTGAAAACCAACCATCTGAGCATCTACGTTAGGCAATAAAAAATAAGAAAACAAGCAAACCACAAGCAACAACAAATCAAACCCAAAGAAAGAAGGATGGAAATAAATAGAAAAATGGGATGTATGTCAATCAAACAGAAAAGTCATACAATAGAGAAAATCAACAAAACCAAGTATTAACTCTTTACAAAGATTAATAAAATTCATAAACCTCTAGCAAAATTAATTAAAAACTGAAAGAAAATACAACTTAATATTAGAAATGAAAAATAATGCATTAATAAAGACCCTGAAAACATTAAAATGATAATAGGGTATCAAGAATAATTTGATATTGATAAATTTGACAATTTTAAAAAAAATGGCAAATGCCTTGAGAAATACAGCATGCTAAAACTGACACAAGAAAAACATAGAAAATATGATACTCCAATGTCTATTTAAATATTGACTGTTATTAAAAACCTCTCCACAAGAAAACTCTAGGCCCAGGTAACCTCAGTGGTAAATTCTTCCAAAGAAATAGCACCAACCTTACACAAATTCTCCCAGATAACTGATAAAGAAAGAACACTTGTCCTAGCTGGTTTGGCTCAGTGGATAGAGCATCGGCCTACAGACTGAAGGGTCCCGGGTTGGATTCTGGCCAAGGGCACATGCCTGGGTTGTAGGTTCGATCCCCAGTGTGGGGTATGCAGGAAGCAGCTGACCAATGATTCTCTGTCATCATTGATGTTTCTATTTCTCTCCCTTTCTCTCTGAAATCAATAATATATATATATGGAACACTTCATAATATCATGATGTCTTATAATAATATAAAAAACATTGAATACCTACAAGTATCGAACACCTACAAGTAACAAAATAATGTGCAAGATCTCTACTCTAAAAACTGTAAAATATTACTGAGTGAAATTAAGAAAGATCTATATAAATTGAAGATAAACCATGCTTATGATTCAGTATTATAAATAAGTCAATTTTTCATCAATCAAAACAAGAGCAATTTTTATTAGAAATTGACAAGCCAATTCTAAAATTTATATGAATATGTAATACAATCTAGATGAAGAAAAATACTACCAAGTATAAGAGATTATGAATATATAGTAATTTAGATATGTAATATTGACACAGGATAGGCAAATAGAAAAATAGAACAAAATAGAAAATTCAGAGACTAGTCACACAGTCACCTGACCTACATTGAACATGATACTGTAGTGGAGGAAATGATGGTGTAGGTATTAAATGGTACTAAGTCATCTGGATATCCATATAGTAAAAAAAAAAAAAAAGAATCTATAATGACTCCTACCTCACACGTCAATCATAGAACTTCTCATAGACTATAGATATAACTGGGAAAAGTGAAACAATAAAGCTTTTAAAAGAAAACATAGAAAAATATCTTTATGACCTTAAGGTAGGCAAAATTTTCTGAAGTTACAAAACCCACTAATTAAAAAGAAAAAGATTGATAAATTTGACTATATTGAAATACATATCTTCTGTTCATCAAAAAACACCATTAGAGAGTAAAAACGCCAGCCACAGCCCGGAGATGTTTCTAATATATACATCCAACAAAGGACTTGATTCCAATCAATAAGAAAAATGCAGACAACCTACTTCACAAAAGGAGCTATCCAACGTCCAATGTCATTAGTCACCAGGAAATACAAATGAAAACCAAATATACCGGCTGCATATCCACCAGAAGATTGAGAAGGAAAAGAAGGCCACGTCCAGTGTTGGTGAAGATATGAAGCTACTGGCAACGGAACTCTCAAAATATTGGTACTGAAAACATGGATTGGTACAAATCACTTTGGAAAATTCTGTCAATATTTATTCAGTTCTGTCAGTATTTACGCATATTCTATGATCTAACAATTTTACTCCCAAACATATATCCAACAGAAACATGTACACGTGTTCACCCAAAGACAAGTACAAGCTGCATTATTAGCAATAGTCAAGTACAGGAAGCAACCCAAATATGCCGCATGGTAGAATGCATACATGCTGATGGCATATTCAGACTGTGTAATACAAAGACAATGAACAAATTAAAACAGCGTGCAACAAGCGTAATGTTGGGTGACAGAAGCCAGCTACCAAAGAATTCATACTATATGATTCCATTTGTATGAAATTAAAAAATAAGCAAAGCCAATACAGGCTGTTAGAAACCAGGAGACTGGTCACTTGTGAGGAAAGGTGTGATAATTGGCAGGGTGCTGGGGGGCTCTGGGGGTTGCAATGTCCTGCTGCTCAGTTTGGGAGCTTGCTCACATGGGTGAGTACAGTTTGTGAACCCTCACTGAACGGCACACCTACGATTTCTGTATTATACTTCGGCAAAAAGGGTTTACATTTAAACATTGAGTGGGACTATGGTGAAAATCGTTGTGCCCATTTAATCAAGAAAGGTTGAGTCGGAGAAGAATTAGCTTCAGGAGAGAGGAGAAGCTGGGGATCGGAGGCCCTTTGCCAAAGAGCTCCTGGGCAAATTCCCTCTGGGCTTTCTCCCGTCAGGTGGAAGGGCTGACTGTGGTCGGCCAGCAGTTTGGAGAGAGTGTCACGGAGCCTGGCCAGACCTTTGTGGACGCAGAGTTCGATGGCATTCTGGGCCTGGGATACCCCTCCTTGGCTGTTGGAGGGGTGACTCCAGTGTTCGACAACATGATGGCCCAGAACCTGGTGGACGTACCCATGTTTTCTGTCTACATGAGCAGGTAAGGCCCGTCAAGCCTGCCAGGCTGAGGTCAGTTATACCTCCAGGGGGACAGCATGGGGCCGCTGAAAGAGCACTCGACGTAGCAGTCACACACCGGGGCTGGATCTCTTGTTAGTCCAGCTGTGTGATTTGGGGCAAAACACTGAACCTCTCTGACTATTGAGAAAATGGGATTTGCCTCAGAAAGTCGTTGTGAAGAGCACTTTGTAAACTGTAGCATGCTGGACTAATTTAAGGAATACCTGGAATTAGATACAGTGGGGCCTTGACTTACGAGTTTAATTCATTCCAAGACCGAGCTCATTAAGGAGCTCGTTAAGGAGCTCGTTAACTCAAATTACTCTATCAACTCAATGCAAAAAATCGGCGGAGAGACAGCTGGTATCTCAAAAAACTTGTTAGTCGGGACACTCGTAAGTCAAGGCCCCACTGTATTCATTTATGCAGTGAATAACTACTTCTCAAGCCCCTCTTATGTGCTGAGCACAATGCTGGGCACTGGGAATACAATGAAGCTAGAAAGACCGTCCCCGTCCTCAAGAAGCTTAATCCCAGTGGGGGAGGCGGAAAAAATTTACAATAAGCTGATAGTAAAATAATCACATGTTCATGGATGGATAAGCAAATGTGATATATACATACAATAGAATACATTCAGCACATGCCACCACAGGGATACATCTGGAGGACGTTATGCTAAGTGAACTAAGTCTGTCACAAAAGGACCCCTTGTATGATTTCACTTATAGGAAGCACCTAGAGTGGTCAAATTCATAGAAATCGATAGTAGAATGGTGGTTGCCAGAGACTGAGGAAGGGGAAATGGGAAGTTATTGAATGACTGTAAAATTTTGGTTTTGTAGGATGAAAGGTTCTATAGACTGGTTACACAACGGTGTGGATATACTTAACACAACTAAGCTGTAAACTTAAAATGATTACGATGGGCCCAGGCTGGGGGGGCTCAGTTGTTTGGAGTGTCGTCCCATGCACGGAAGGGTTATGGGTTTGATTCCCGGTCAGGGCGCATAACCAGGCTTGTGGTTCATTCACAAATCACTGGGCAGAGCTGTCTCTCTTCTTTCGCCCACAAATTCCAGACTAACCGACGCACAGTCATTGGAAGCCTGGTCTCAAAGCCCGAGCTTGTGTTTCTGCCTGTCTAGGTACTTGGTGGGAGTGATCAGACCACGAGGCGGGAGCTCACTCCCAGGGTTTTCCCGTGGCCCTTCCTTGGCAGCCTGCCTTTCTCTCCCTGCAGTGACCCAGAAGGCGGTGCGGGGAGCGAGCTGATTTTCGGAGGCTATGACCACTCCCATTTCTCTGGGAGTCTGAACTGGGTCCCGGTCACCAAGCAAGGCTACTGGCAGATAGCGCTGGACACGTGAGTATCCTCCACAGAGTTTGGTGTTGAGGGAAGAACTCATAACTCATAGCAGACACAACTCACATTGACCTGAATGGAAGTGCTGCTCACTGGGAGAGGATGCCAGGAGCCTGCGTGAGGCTAGAGGCGTGGAGGTGCCGAGCAGAGGTGCAGGAAGGAGCATCAGTAACCAGGGTGACAGGCACGCGGTACCAACGACCAGCTTCCTTCCTTGTAGGAGAGGTGCGCCTTCAACTCAACCCATGGTAAATACAAACACTCCACCAGCTGCTTCTTGTTCACTCAACATAAATTAACACACAGACAAGGGCTGATTGAAATGGGTGCAGAAGTGAATTGGATTCAGATTGTGCCTGCATAAAGGATGCACGGAAGGTGAGACGCACATACAAGCGACTGCATGTAAAGAGGACAGTGATCAGTGCTCCATGAGATGTGCCACCAAGGTGACCCAGCAGACAGGGCAAGGCAGCTTCTGTCTGAAGAAATCCTTGGATTTCATGGAGGTGGCAGCACTGACTGAGCGCCCCCCCCCTCCCGGTCCCCTACACACGCACCTGGGCATGGAGCAATGGGAAAGTGGGATTGGATGTCTGACACCTTCCTGGCACTGTATTAGACTGTGGTGAGCTGGCACGGCCATGGCATACTCAGCCCCAGGGCGCCTTATGTGCTGCGCCAGCTCAGCCTGGTTCTGTGACCCTGAGAGGGGGCAGTGAAGGATTGAGAAAAGACAGGCAAGAGAAGAAAGCTGAGTCTCGGTGGGACGCTGCCCTCTCTGATGGAGAGAGACAACACCACAGACTACAAGCCGTGTCTTTATTTTATAGTCAGATTCCAAGAGGCAAAGTAAGGGTGTGGTCAAGATGTTTACAATAGTCTCATGGGTTTCGAATCTACTCAATTACATGCACCTGAACTCTATCAAGCCCACATCACTCAGGCTCGTGGGGCCACGTGTTCAGACCATAGGTTCAACCTTACAACTATAGCTGTTGATATAATTGTGCTGGGAGGGCTCTGCCCTCCAAGCTGGGACTTGCACGTGGCCACAAGAACTGTGCCCTCTCATTAGTCCGAGGCTTAAACCTGTCCAAACACTGTAGCCACTCTCCACATTAGACAATGCAGGGACTCAAAAAACGTAATTCAAGTGTCAACTCAGCCAGGAACAAGTTCCTGCAAAGGTGCCAGCCATGTGCCAGGCATGTGCTTCAGGTATCAGAGAGCTCAGCAGGGAGTGAGAGCTGGAGGCTGGAGAGAGGGGACAAGAAGCGAAGAGGTGAGGGACTGACCACGCTTCCTTTGCCCTCAGAATCCAGGTGGGGGGCGCCGTGATGTTCTGCTCAGAAGGCTGCCAGGCCATTGTGGACACAGGGACCTCCCTCATCACAGGCCCCCCGGCTGAGATCAAGCAGCTGCAGAAGGCGATAGGGGCAGAGCCCGTGGATGGAGAAGTGTGTGCTTGTCTGGGTAGGAGGGGGGAGCGGGGGTGGGGCCTCTCTTGGGAGACGGGAGATTCTAAACTGATCCTCTGTGGGGTGTTTTAGTATGCCGTGGAGTGTGACAATCTCAATGTCATGCCGGATGTCACCTTCACCATCAATGGAGTCCCCTACACTCTTCAACCAACTGCCTACACCCTGCTGGTAAGAACTGTTTCCTCACTTGGGGTGGTGAAGACACAATACTGTGTACAGATGATGTGTTATAGAATGGTACACCTGAAACCTGTATCATTGTATTAACCAGTGTCACCACAATACAATTTTTTAAAAAAGCACACACACACACACACACACACATACACACACACACACATATATTCACAATATAGCAGAAAAGAATTAAAGGACTGTTTCCTCATTCTGCACGTCACAGGGCCTTCCCCAGATACCTGCCACTTCCCCTTTTCAAACAGTTGCCTGCACTCAGGCCACATCTATCCCAAGTCCTCCCCATCTTACCCTGCACTGAAGTGGCACTTCCTCAGGGAAGGACACAGCTGCCTGTGTGTGGTGGAAAGACCACTGGGCTGGTTCTCTAACTTCCTGCTCGGCCATGAAGCAGCAGCAAACCTGGAACAGGCCGTTCAATGAGGTTCTCTGACATTGTCACTAACCTCAACCACCAAGTCAGACTGGGGATGCTATTACCCCATTTTATAGACCAGGACATTGAGACCCAGAGAGTTAATGGTTCTAGATGTGAGATGCTTGGGTTGGGAGGTACAGAATAAGGTTATATCTCTTCTAATATATATATAGATTAACATGCTTCTCAAACCAGAGGATGCCTTGGTGCAGTAGATGCGTAAGTATGAAGGGAGAGGTAGAAAGGGAACCCCCAGGTGTTTGAGAAATCCATGACCACCTCATACACAGTGACAGATTTTCAGTATCATACTTCTTTGGTGACACACTTTAATGCACTAACCTTGCCCAAGAGTCACCCACAGCATCAGCGTGACTGCGCCAGAATCGAGGTGCTAAGGGATAGACTGAGGGCTTTAGGGATTTACCTACCCCCGCACCTTGATTGCCATTAACCCCTTCCCTAAGCCACTTTTACTATTACAGTTACAGTAAAAGTGAAAACAAATGTCTTTTTAAAAATTTTTTCTTTATTGATTAAGGTATTACATATATGTCCTTATGGCCCCATTGCCCCCCCCCCCACTCATGCCCTCACCCCCCTGTTGTCTGTGTCCATTGCTTAGGCTTATATGCATGCATACAAGTCCCTTGGTTGATCTCTCCCCCTTACCCCCACCCTCCCTTACCTTCCCTCTGAGGTTTGAGCATCTGATCGATGCTTCTCTGTCTCTGGATCAGGAAAACAAATGTCTTACTTTAAAACACAGCTTCATGTCAAGTCCCCTAAACTCCTCCAACAAAGGAATTCTGCAGCTGCCACTGTGACCACCACACTGAGGACAAGCTAGACATTTCAACTGCCAAATTCATCAGTCTCTACACCCGTCACCACTCCAGCACCCCCTCCCACCTTCACCCTCTGTGAGTCCCTGCTCACCCCCACGCCCTTTCCTGTACCCAATATGGTGCCACTGTCCTTTTCTGCCAGCACATTTCCATCAGAGCCACCTCAACCCATCACGGATGCTGTAATACCTTTGCATTCTTATCCCCGTCCTCTCAAGAAGGCTCTTTAGCCCTCCGCAAATCTTCCCACTCCCTCATCAGCAACCTCAAACTTCCAGTGGTTGTTGGAAAGACCACACCTGTCTGTTAGATCCCAACTCTTGGCCAAACTGAAAAATAAGATTGGGGGAGGTCCTCATGGAGTAAGGGATGCCTACTTGCCTTACACCTAGTAGGAGCCACTCAAGTGATTCTTTCCAGAACAAGAAAATAGCAGTGGCTAGCCAGGGGTGGGCAAACTTTTTGACTCGAGGGCCACAATGGGTTCTTAAACTGGACCGGAGGGCCGGAACAAAAGCATGGATGGAGTGTTTGTGTGAACTAATATAAATTCAAAGTAAACATCATTACATAAAAGGGTACGGTCTTTTTTTTTTTAGTTTTATTCATTTCAAACGGGCCGGATCCGGCCCGCGGGCTGTAGTTTGCCCACGGCTGGGCTAGCCATTTATAAGCGGTTTCTCTCCCTTAAAAAATTTGACTTGAGCTCCACCAGAAACTAAAGAAACCAGAGTTTAAGTCAAGGTCTTCTAATGCCAAATCTTTTGTTCTTCCAGCCGTGAGTCAAGCTTTTGGTTTTCCCAATGGTGAAATGGTGTTGGGGGGTGGGAGTGTATAATAGATGAACAATTCTCAAAATCGTAGAACTTAGAAGCCCAGACCCACATCTATCAAACACTTTAACCCTTTGCGGTCCAATTTTATTTTTGGAATTCAAACAGTCTGGTCCGAATTGGAAGTCCTTCCTCTCTTGGTTGCAGTAGTTCCCTGGCGGAAATTGCCAATTAGCTCAATCACCAACTGGACGTTGGACCTGCTACTAGCACCTGGTCTGTCGAGTCAGCCTCGACGTTGGACCGAAAAGGGTTAATGAATACATCGGTAGAGGTGTATGAAGCAGGAGGAAGAACCAGCCAACCAAAACTGTGAAGCAGCTGTCTAAGGCCATTCCGTGCGGCCACCACCACCACACAGTGTCGCTGAAGGCAGCACTCCTTCCTTCTTCCCCTGTATGTCACTTACCTTCTTCTTTCCACCCCCAGGACTTCGTAGATGGAATGGAGTTCTGCTCCAGTGGCTTTCAAGGCCTTGACATCCAGCCTCCAGCCGGGCCCCTCTGGATCCTGGGCGACGTCTTCATTAGACAGTTTTACTCTGTCTTTGACCGAGGGGATAACCGTGTGGGGCTGGCCCCAGCCGTCCCCTAAAGAGGGGCCTCCTGTCTGTGCCTGCTGCTTAACACCCCTTAACATCCAGCTGGGCCTGTCAGGTTGGGGCATTATTCACACCTGTCAAAAACTCATTTCCAATAGATTGCATTTGTTCAAAGGGGCAACTTCAATTAGAAATAAACACAGCTGAGACTGCACGAGTGCGGGCGCACACACACGCTCACACATTTCCATATATCACCACCTCTACCACCATCATGATAGGATTAAGTTGTATGCCCAAACTTTTTATTGCTTTTGGCTAACATTTTATTATGGAAATCTCCAATTATGGGCATTATGTATAGAAGCAGAGATTATCCTATATAATAAAAGCATAGTATGCAAATTGTTCCTCTGGGAGTTTGACCAGGGGGCGGGGCCAGCCAGGGGAAGGGAGGGAGTACCCGGCAGGCAGCCAGCAGCTGCTAGGGACTTGGGCCTCCAGTAGTGTAAGAAATCCCTATGCACACCCCACCTGCACATGGCCAGGACTGTTTTTTTCTGCACCACCACCCACTCCTCTCTCCAGCCCCACATACCTGGATTATTTTGAAACAAATTCTTAGCATCACATCATAAGTCACCACATCAAGGATTTATCCATAAATCCTTGTAACTTCCTAAATGTGCGGTCAGTGTTCAAGGGGTTCCTATTGTCTCATAAATGTTTGGTCACATTTGCAGTTGACTTGTGTGTATCAGGATTCGAAAGTCCACAAATTACACTTACTTGAGATGTCTCTTTTCATCTGTAGAGTTTACCACATTCTGAACTTTGCAGAGGTGTCATGTAACGTGGTTCTCTGGGCTCATCTTTTCTATAAAATGGTAGTTGGATCTAGGGGCCTGATTTTGTGGCAAGAATACTCCATAGGTGGTGCTGGGCACATCCCACTGTAACCCATCAGGAGACAGTAATGCTTGGCGCCTGTCTGGTAGGAGTGGTAGGGATGGTGAGTGGGTCCCAGAGTTCTCAGCCTCATCCATCCATTTATGACAAATTTCCCTTTGGTATTTTTTGAAAATTTTTCCCTTTATTTTATTTTATTTTATTTTATTTTTGGTATTTTACCTCAAGGTTTTGGCAGCCATTGATGATCAGTGCTTAGCTCCACGGTGTCATTAGGAAGGGATACAAAACAGGGATTTTTCTAATTCTGTTTTTCCTCCTGTATTTGTTAGCTGGGATTCTTTTCTAAAAATAACTAATAAAATAAAATAAAAATAACTCTTTTACTCGTAGACACAGAGAATAGATTGCTGATTGCCAGAGGGGAGGGGAATTGGGGAACTGGGTGAAAAAGGTGAAGTCCAAATTGATAGTTACAAAACAGTCACAGGGATGTCAAGTACGGCTTAGGGAATATACTCAATAATGTTGTCATAACTATGCATGGTGCCAGGTGAGTACTGAAAATATAGGGGGAAACGCTTTATAAAGTATATAATTGTCTCCAGTGGTCGGCAAACTGCGGCCTGCGAGCCACATGCGGCTCTTTGGCCCCTTGAGTGTGGCTCTTCCTAAGCCTTAGGAGTACCCTAATTAACTTAATAACAATGTACCTACCTATATAGTTTAAGTTTAAAACATTTGGCTCTCAAAAGAAATTTCAATTGTTGTACTGTTGATATTTGGCTCTGTTGACTAATGAGTTTGCCAACCACTGGTCTAGCCACATGCTGTACAACTGAACTAATAGAAAATAATATTAAATATAAGCTGTAAATGAAAACTAAAATTTTAAAAATAATAAAATAAAATAAGGCCCTCAAGCCCCCTCTTTTATCAACGGTTTGCTCACCATGAGGTACAGCTCATACAGGAAAGGCAAAATTACTTGTTTCCCCCCCTTTCTTTACCAGTTTCAGAACAATGAGTGCTTCAGCTTACTGCAGTTTTTAGTGCTCAGTCACCCCACCTTTACTTAGCCAGTGGGCCCTGAACTTTTTACTTCACACAATACAAAGAGTTGTTCCATAGAAGCATAGAGCAGACTGTGGAATCTCAGAGGGAAGGTGGGGGAGGGTGGGTGGGTGGGAAGAGATCAACTAAAGAGCTTGTATGCATATATGCATAACCCATGGACACAGACAATAGGGTGATGAAGGCCTGGGGTGGGGGGTGGGGACTGGCTAGAAGGGGTCAATTGGGAGAAAAGGGGACATATGTAATACTTTCAACAATAAAGGTTTAATTAAAAAAAAAGACTTGTTCCATTTTCCAAAGAGTCCTGGTACCGTGAAGTGTGTTTATATGTTTGTTGTAAATGGAAATATTTCATAGTACGGGGGGTGAGAGATGGAGAGAGAGATATTACAGGATACAGTAAGAGGCTCTGAATGAACCCTTCCCACGTGTGGGGCCCAGGGCCGGTCCATCGGTCCATCCGTCCATCCTGAGGAAGCAGACATGGAGAATCAGGGTCGGAGGCGCACCCCACTCCAGTGGGATCTCTTGCCACCAGAAACAACTTGTCTTTCTTTTCCTTCTTTTCACTTTTTTTTCCAAAATGGAAATATCTTCATGCTTTTTCTTATTATAAAATATGTAAAAGTCCTTCATGCTCCTCCCCCTTGGAGATAAGCATTATTATCATTTGAAGTTGTTTGATACAGACCTTTTTTTGCCCAGAGAAACAGATGAAGGTGAGTATTGGTAAGAAAGCCTTGCTCTTTCTTCAGGAAAAGACACCATACTCGTCCCTAAACTGTTCTTCATTCATCCCGTGTCAGACAGCAACTCATTCCTTCTCACGTCTGTACGGTGTCCAATTATTTGTCAAATCTTCTCTTAACGAACATTAGTTAATTTGGGGTTTAATTCAACCCAATCTGATCAACACTTATTACTTATTTTGTGCCCAGTGCTAAGCGAGGCCCTCTAAGACCCGGGAGACAACCGGCCCTGGCCTTCCCTTTGGGCAGTAGGGGTCGTGGAAAACACGCCAGGCTCACAGATCACCTAGATCACATCTGGGCTCCACCTCTCACCAGACTGGTGGCGTTGGCTCATTCCTTCATGTCCGTCAGATCCACCCCCAGGACTGCTGGGAAGAGTCAGAGCTTCACCTGGTGGGAGTGTGGCTCATGCTGTCAGCGGCCCTTCCCCTTCACGTATCTTGGTCATGGCTCCCACACATATACAGTGGGGCCTTGACTTACGAGTTTAATTCGTTCCGTGACGGAGCTCATAACTCAAATTACTCGTATGTCAAATCAATTGTGAAGAGTGAGAGACGTGATGCTGGGCTGATGTTGTGGCGTTCACTGTGACGTTCGCTGCGCTAACTAGCGGCGGGGTATCTGAAGCTGGTTCGTAACCCGAATTTTAGCTCGCAACTCAAAGCAAAAAAATCGGCCAAGAGACGGCTCATATCTCGAAAACCTCGTTCGTCGGGACACTCGTAAGTCAAGGCCCCACTGTATACACTGTTTTTGTGGGGTTTTTTCTACTTATTTTCTTCACTGACTTATTGCTTTTAGATTTCATTAAGAACAGCCTGATCCAAATAAGCTCTCCAAGTAGCATAATAGAGTGGTTAGCAACACAGGCTCCGGAGTCAGACAGCTCCTGGCACCAGGGCGGGACCTCTGCACCTCAGTTTCTTCATCTGTAGAATGGGCGTGGTAACAAGAACTGCCCCCGGGGTTACTGAGAGGATTCAACAGCCTGATGCATGCGTGGGAACACTTAACTAGCTTGTGTGTCTGTGCTCGCCCAGGGCCCGACTGGCCTGCACCCAGCACAGGCGCATCGCACACCAAGCGGAAGCCCCAGAGTAAAAAGGCTGAATGACTTTTCCTCTAAAACAAGCACTCCAGGAGCCAAGTAGAAGCCGATGGTTAGAGAGCACCCTGCAGGCTTTCTCCCTGCAGGGCCTGGGCCTCCCTGGTGTGTTGATGTGCCGCCTGCCTGGCGCCAGGAGGCTCCGGGATGGGGGCCTGGAGTATGAAAGTGACACTTACACCACACGTGCAGGAAGTGAAAGCGACTCAGTCCTCAGGCTGCCCTAACCCAGTTCCACTCTGAGCACACTGGTCCCTCAGGGCAGAAGTGACGCTTCTGTCAGCATGAGCTAAACACCGCCTCTTCCTCCCCACCCCCCGCCACCCCAGTGTAAACCTACTTAGCCCTATTAGCTGCTATGAGTTTCCCAAAACTGACCTTTGCTCTGTGTGACCTTCACATCTGTGGTGTTAGTCCTTGTCCATGTGCTTGTCCCATGACCCATGTCTGATTCTAGTCACAAACCTCTCAGGGAGGGGCCTAGTGCTTTGGCCAAGCTTCCCTGTGCGGTGGGAATTGTCAAAGGATGCTAAATCCATCTCCTAGGGCTGCCACAACCAGTGCCACAGACTGGGTGGCTTAAAATAACAGAAATGTATTGTCTCACAGTTCTGGAGGCTAGAAGTCCAAGATGAAGGTGTCAACAGGGCCATCCTGGCTCTGAAACCAGTCGGGGAGAATTCCTCCTTGCCTCTTCCTAGCTTCTGGCAATCCCTGGTGCTCCTGGTCTCGTAGCTACAACCCTTCCATCTGTGCCTCTGATGTCACATGGTGTCCCCCTATGTGTCCATGTCTCTGTCTTTTCTCCTCTCTCATAAAGTCGCCAGTTATATTGGATTAAGGTCTGTCCTACTCAAGTCTGAGCTCATGTCAACAGACCGACCCTTCCAGGACCCTGTTTTTAAATAAGGTCATTCTGAGGACCTGGGAGCCCGGACTTCAACATACCTTCCGGGAGACACAGTTCAACTCATGACAGATGCTTTGCTAACGAACTGCTCTTAAATTTGATTTTTGGCCTCTTAAAATCCTTTCAGAAGCTTTCTGATATTTTATCTTTCTTTTCCTCCTCCCATCCCCCTCACAACAAATCTGTGAATTAGGCAGAACAGCTTTTATTACCCTGTTTTCTAAATGGGGAAATTGGAGTGTAAAACAATGAAACAGTTAGTTAAAAGTAGAAGTGAATCCATGTCTCCCGGCTCCTAATCCACAGCGTCTCATGTAATCGCTTCCCCCAAGCCCAGGGGATCTCGAATGCAAGGATGGCAGGTAGATTCTAGTCAGTCCACATGCGTTTGCTGCTGAAAGGTCAATGGTTGCTGATCCCAAGAGGACCCAGACAGCATCCTCCTGTCTGCTCTAGTGTGGAAATAAGGCCCTGCTAAGAGGATCCACGGAGCCTGCTATTCCTTGGAGGAGCTGTCCCTCTCCTGTTCTCTGTGAGCCAGGTTCCTGTCATCATCAACATTACAGGGGTGAACACAGGCCTTACGTTACACCTCTCAGATTCTCTCTTCTGAAAATCGAATGCTGAGTGGGACCCCATGGCTGAGGCATGCGTGGCAGGCACACGGAGAGACAGCCC